AGGAGAAATGCGGAGCATTTCGGGTGGGCTTTTTTGGTTTTACCTTTTGGAGTACTCTGCGTCTTTGATGCATTTGAAGAAGCCGTTTTCTTCCGCTTCGACTCCGGTTCTTTATCTTCTGATCCCAGCTGATCTACTGGAGGCCATAAATGCACGTTAAACAAAGGCAGCTGCTGGTTTAAAGCTCTTCTGTATCGCGCTGTAATGGCCCGTCACTGCTTGAAAAACACCCCCTCTACGGTCCTTACAGTTTTCTGCACTGCTGGGTTTGGCCTTTCCATAGAGGAATTTTCAGGACCTCCTGACATCAGTCCCGCGGGCAAGACGCCCGATGCGCCGCTCTCGGCTGCCGTCCCCCCGCAGCCCTCGCCACCAGCTTCAAACCAGCGTTGTGGTTACGGTCACAAAAATCTCAACTTCTTTATAATACAAGCTACCGAGCTGTCTTGAATTAACCTAGCTCAAGGCCCAACAGCAGCATTTCAGCTTCGTTACAGAACCAGCCAAAGCCTACCTAATGTGTGTTAGCAGATTCAGCAGCTCTAAGGAAAGCTCAAAATCAACATTTTTAAGATTTTTCTGGAGACAAGGAGTTTGCCAGTCTCCTCTATTACAAAATAAACAAGGTGTTTGGTTTTTAGACTACCAAAGCAGTCCAGCTGGCAGGTGAAGAGTCACACATCAAAACCATCCGTTTTCTTTCTAATTCCATGTTCCAATAATCTAGATAGCAATATGTCCCAAAGGAGGTTAATGCAATAAATCCTCTCCCCTAATAACAAAAGCCAGGCAGCTGTCGAAGGAACGCAACAGACAGCATCGCTCCTGCATCCCCGAGACGTTTCGGCCGACGGCGAGCATCTCGCCGCGTCGTCGGCGCGCGAAGTTTCGGGTTTGCCGTGTGGCTCTTCACCAGCTGCGGGCGGACTGCCGCCCCCTGCACCGCTGGCCCGAGGCAATCAATAAACTCCTTCCTATTTCACTGCCGGAATCAGATTTTAAGACTTGAGTAATACGGTTTTACTTGCTTTAACCTCTCCTTCCCAGTTTTCTTGGTCCGCTTCTCAGGCTCAGGAGGAACGAGTCGTTTCCTAAGCCTACACCTCTTGTGCCTGAGGTTTTTACTATACAGAGAGGAACTAAAATCACTGATTTTCTGTGTATCAAATACATTTATTATAATTTGTCACTACCAGTTAGATCAGAAATCAACACAAGGGCTTGGATATTTTAAGAGGGCTTTTTACAGCTAACTCGCTAACAGAACACAGAAAGTATCTTGCATTTTCAGTAAATGCTTTTGTTAATCATGGGGACGCTTATGTTCTATAACATCAACGAGATTAAAACAATATACAACATTTAAATAGTTTTGAGTGTGTATAGAGTTAACTAATCCCTTTCCTAACGTTTCTAGAAACTGACGTTTAAAATACTCCGTTTTAAGCAAGATATCTGCCGCTTCTGCAGCTCCTCCGTATCTGCATTACTCAGGTCGCCTCTGCCACGCAAGGAGCTTGAGACGGGAGAAAAGCTTTTCCAAAACATCAGGAGAAAAAGTGCTGTGTCAGCGCTCGGCCGCATCAGCGGAGATGGAAAGAAAACCCGAGACGAGCGGACTGCACCCACGCTTTGGCCAGAACTCTTCTTGTGTGTGGGTTATATATAGCTCTCCCTACGTGGCTCTGCGTTAGACTTCCTTAACCCTTTGCTAATTCCATGCTACAGATGTTGTTCTACATTTTCTCCTCTAGATCCAGCCTGGAAGCCGTTACATCTTTGTGTCTGTGTGCCTATTTCATTGACTCACCTTCATAAAGTTTCGCCCTGTAATTACAGCCTATAAATCACCTGTGCCGGGTAGTTTACCAGGCCTGGCATTAAAAGTGAGAAAAGGCGCTATTTTCCCCAGTTTTAGCCATCATAAACACCAGATGAACACTTCAAATCAATATGCAGCTTCATTTTACATCAAAAGAAAGACGCATTGTAAAATGCAGTAATAAAATACCCCACCTTATAGAATCACAGAATCGTTAAGGTTGGAAAAGACCCTTAAGATCATCAAGTCCAACCGTTAACCCAGCACTGCCAAGGCCACCACAACCATGTCTCCTCGAGCACCACGTCTACCTGTTCTTTAAATACCTCTAGGGATGGAGACTCAACCACTGCCCTGGGCAGCCTGGGCCAGTGCTTGACCACCCTTTCGGTGAAGAAGCTTTTCCTAATATCCAACCTAAACCTCCCCTCTTCACCTTCAGGCCGTTGTTCACGCTCAGTCTCCGTTTTCCCCCAGCATCTCTTGCATTAACTTTGTCAAAAACGTGGGGTTTTTCAGTTTCCTCTGTTTGCTACCAGGCTCTCTCTGTGTGTGGCACTGACTCCAAGCATCTTATTTTCTATTTCCCCTCTAGAAACTACGGGAGGTTCCTTACCTTTTGACTCGGACATCGCAGTAATTTCTTCTTCTGGACTCATATCTCCTAGAATTTCCATTTCTTCTGGTCCTGCAACAGCAACAATATCCTCCTCTTCTGGTCCTGCAATGGCAGCAATTTCTTCTTCTTCTGGTCCTGCAACGGCAACAATATCTTCGTCGTCTTCATCCTCGTTCAGATTTTTCCCTGGGAAAGTATTTTCTTCTTCCTCATCCTCCTCTCCAACTTCATCTACTGTAACAAAGTTTAGTTCCTCTTTCAGGCGATCGAAATCAGCCAGAAAATCATCTTCATCGTCGTTAACTTCATCCAAAGTCACTAGAGGGTTATCTTCGTTGTCCTCTTGTATTTCATCTACCGTCACCAAAGCACTGGGATCATCAGGCACCTGAGAGGACGCACCGTCTCCAGGATCCTCAGCAGCCACTTTATCGTCCTCCTTCTCTTTCAGCACATCCTCAATATTCAGGTCCGCAGGCTCGTTCAGAGGCAGCTCTTCCACCTCGCCGATTTCATCCACAGTTACCAAGGGTTCGGCTTTCAAATCCTGCTCCTCAAAAACCGACCTAGGGATGTCTTTGTGAGAGCCAAGGTCCTCCTGTTCAGATATCTCATCCAAAGTAACAAGCGACTGTGGATCCTTTACCGCTTCTGACAGAAGTTCTTCCTCTTCCATCACTTCATCCACGACAACCAGGCCCTGCGGGTCACTGAGCGCTTCTAAATTAGCAACTCCCATCAGCTGTGCGGCCACATCCTCCTCCTCACCGATTTCATCCAACGTGACAAAAGAGAGTTCGCTTTCGGCAATGCGCGCGATGGAGCTTTTCCCTTTCCTCCTCTTCGAACTCGGCTCAGAAGAGGAGTTGGTTTTAGCACCATCCTTTCTCTTTCCCCTCGGTGGATTTCGCCGCGTTTTAACGGGAGACTCGATTTCCTCTATGACCTCATCCACAGTAACAAATTCATCCAGGTTAAATGGAAACAGCTCTTCTTCCTAGGAAGTGTAAAAATGTGAAGATAACCAAGTTTAACACAAACACCTCCATCCACAGGGTGTCTACTGAAAAATACCTGCATGCTGACCCTGGCTGAAGGGGATAAAAAAAAAAAATGCAACTTAAGGGTAGAAAACAATTTTCAGGCCTTCAGTCTCATGTGGAAGAGTTTTCATTATCAGCATTTGTGTTAAGTAAGCAGATTCAATTCAGACACCCAAAGCATTTTTCAAAAACACAGCGGACGAACAGACAAAACCTGTGTCTATGAAAAGAACTGGGCCGATGCCCTGAATACTCATGCATATTTTTGCCCTCACTTGCAGGAAGACTAGCGAAACTCCGCGGTACCCTTCCAAAACGCTATCATCTCGTGTCAGTATCTCATTCCCTTCCCTAAGCACATGCTGTTGGCCGCTGCTACAAAACAGGAGACGACATTAGATGGTTCGATCCAGCAAAGTCACTCTGCGTCCTGATGACTACTCACTGTTTTATCTTGCCTCTTTGGTTTCCATCTCCTAACAAAGACCTCGGTTTCAGAGAGGCTCTCCGACGGCCCTACGCTCCGGCCCGGGAAAGGGCTCCAGCACTGAACCTCAGTCGGTGGCATGCTCTTACTGGAGCACGTCTTGCACCTGAAACTGCTCCTACCCTGCGGTTTGACCACGCCAGCTTCCATCAGGGCTCACACAATTTCTTCTAGGACATGTATTCTAGAAAGAATTAACAGCAATTTAATGCTGTATGTAGCTGAGAACATCTGGAGGAGGATTATGTATACATGTTAAATTTAATAAAAGAGTGAATTAACCCGAATTGCTTTTAGGTTCTATGAAAAGACGGCAGTCGTGTTTTTGGAACAGAGCATTAGACTTTGTTCACTGTAAAAGAGCTATGCATTTATAATCAGGATGGCAGGATAAGGTGGATAAGATGGGTACACTTAAGTCAATTCATAAATTAATTTTAGACATTAAAACACATCCAAATATCCATTGCACCCCAAATTACGCATTCAATTTCTTCAATGAATGATTCTGAAATTATTTTTTTTTTTTTTTGGCAACAGATTCCACCCTGCCGTCACATACTGGTCGGTATCCAACACAAGAGTGAAAATACCCTTGTCAACACAGCCCTTTAAGGCCAAGGCCAGATGAACCTTCCTCTGTCAGAGAGCAAGACTGCAGCTAAGAAATACTAAAAACGGTCCTCCAGCAGAAAGAGTAATCTGAAATTCAAAGGCTACATGCTTTTTCCTCCCTTTCTTTTTAAAAAAGCTAGCAAATACTAGGAATAATGCGTGCCTCCACCCACATTCTGATGCAGAAGCTTGAGGAATATTTAAGGCAAGGTGGGCACAGTGAAGAAAAAGAAAGAAAATATCTGGTTACAGTTCAACTGAAATCAGACGTTACTGTATTTTTTCTTCCGTGAAAAGCAGAACACAGATCTTGGTGCTTATCAGCTGTCTAACAGCGAAGACTAAAGCAGGAAGAATTAATTGACATTACAAAGCCTTTTTTCAAAGGGTGCAGAATTTCCTCTTGGGGATTAACGAACACATCTGGAACATCAGATATGAAAGTGTCCTCTACTGCCATCAGCACCATCAACTTCACAAACACACCGTGCTGGTGATGCGAGTAGTTTACGTGGATTAAGATTACCAAAAGGATTCAGGTCTCTGCCTCAGAAATCCCTTTTCCATAGGGACCCACTACTTACCCGAGAGATCTTCGATTTGATCCTGTAATGCTACTTCTATAAACTCATCATATGGATTTTTATTACCTTCTTTCTGCCTTTCTTTCCCAAAGCCCCAGCTGTCTAACGGGGAGAGGGTGTATCTCTTTTCACCTTCCTGTAAAAACGCAGACTCTTCAGCAGTTGAGCCTACAGGCTCCCAAGCTCCCCTGCACCAAAAACGTACAGAAATCCTCGCTCTGCAGGACCCGCCGGAAATATCTTTGCATGGAAGAGGTACCAGGGATGGAGATGCTCCGATTACCTCCTGTTGTACAAAATCATTTATGAAGAGCTAGAAGACCTCAGCCTTCCTTTCGCTTCTCACAAGTGTGGTGAGGAACAAAGATCTCCTGCGGGCAACTGGAGAGCCAATCAATTAATTCTCTCTCTCTCAAACAAATGATATCCGAGACCAAAAAACACCTCCTCTTAACACTAGCTTCCTGAATTAAGTTTCTCTTCCAAATGACTTCACTTTACAGCTTTATGCCCACAGGCAGTAACAACGAGCATTGCAAAAAAATTCCCTAGGGAAGGACGCTCAAGCTTCTTAGTACGCGCTCACGCTTTCAAGACAATCCGACGTTAAGTTCGCTTACGGTGACATCCTTACCTCCTTCTGTTTTGCGCTGCTGCTAGTGCCACTTTTTGAAGTTTTAGTATTGCCACCAACGGAAGCCTGCAAAATCAGACAAAAGTTCACATGAAATCAGTTAAGCCAACTAACCTGTCCGCGAGAGAAAGAATAATTTTTAAAAAATCAGCTATTTTTTCCCTTAATGAACTTTTTAAAGTTGTCCAGATTGCTGCTTCTGATCACATGCTTGGCAAGTACAGAACTAAGCCAACCATCAGCGGTAGAGTCCAGGCATACAGTTTCTAGCAACAAGTCACAGGTAACACCTTGCTTAGGAGCCTCTTTTCAGTAACCAGTGTCTGTGCAGGACTTGACAAAGCAAATGTCAGCTCACAAAAGGACAGAAAGCTTATTAATTCCCATTCAGAACTAATCCAAGAACATAAAGTTATGACACTCAATAAAGACTCGCTTCAAAAATACCTTCCTGCAATTTTTTTCCAAGTAGCATTTTCAAACCAGTTACGTACTTGCGTTGCACACGCTGCATCTAAAAGCAACTGGTTGCCCGCCATCTCGCTATTCCAACTTGTCTGTTGGCCCAAACCAGCTGAGTGATTTATGGAAAAGGGAAGGGGAACATAATCTCATTGTCCCATACTCAACATCTGAGAGAAGCATGGAGTTAGTTACTGATCAGGCCTTCCTGCCCTCCTCACCTTATTGCTGCTGTTGTCTTTCTTCATGCTGGATGATCTACTCTCTCCCTCTTGGGCCTGTTTTGAACTAGCCCTAGATTCCACTCGTGAGTCCTTCTCTTGCTGAGATGAATTCCTCCCATTGTCTCCCCTTCCATCAACAACAGAACTTCTGCTCACTTTACATTTGCCGCTGCCATCTCCCAGGCTTGCTCGGCTGCCAGCAGGTCGTGGATGACCCTCTTCTTTTGATGCGATTTTCTTCTCCACCGCTGCTTGGCCTCGGGTCTCCGGCTTCGAGGGAGCTTTCTGCTCCCCTCCTTTACACAGGGAAGGCTCATTTCTCCGTACCGGAACCCTTGACTTTGATATATCCAGAAGAGACACCACTGCCTTTAAAATCGTTTTACCAACAGAGGAAGATTCCTTGACGGATAGAGAGGAGTTTAACGTAACTGCTTCGCGGGTTTCATCAGTTTTTGCTGGTCCTGTTCCTTTATTTTGGTGGGCTTTGATTAAACTTCCCTCGCTGTTCTCACTGACGGCATTTGCAGCACCTTCCATAGCGGCCCCAACCTTGGTCACAGGTTTGTCAAGTTTCTTCTCTGTCTGTGCCCCAGTCTTGACCAAAAGCTTCTCGGGGCTCTCCTCCGCAGCTCTTCCAACGTTGAGCGCAGACTCTTCTGGTTTCATCTCTGTGTCTGCTCCAGCTACATCCAGTTTCTTCTCCACAGCCGCCCCAGTTTGAAGTACAGGTTTCTTCTCTGTTATCGGAATTACAGGCGTTGTGTGTTCGGTTTGCACAGCATCAGAAACGGTATTTTTTTCCGGAGCATCCGACTCGTCGTTTGCTTGCGTGACGACCGACGACACCACCTCCACTGAAGCTGCAGCAGGATCGGGGGGCACCGCTTCAGGGACGGCCCCTGTCGCATCCCCTGCCGCCGGCTTCACGGCACGACGTGACGGCACACCTCCGGCCTCGCCCGCATCGGACAATTCTTCTGGTCGTTCAACGGCAGGAGCAGACAACTCCTCACCTTTCTCTTGAATTTCCTTCTCCGACGCGGATACAACGGCAGATTCAAACAGCTCTGGTTCGGTACGATCTTTAACTGCCTCTTCTTTCTCCACGCTGGAAGGCGGCGGCAGCATCTCTTCCGACTTCGCCTCAGATGATTCCGTAGCAGCGGCTTTGACAGATGCCACAGTAGCTTCAACTCCAGCGCCCACTTTCTCCGCAGACGTTTCTGCCAGTCTCGGAGCAGACTCCCTTACTGCTCTTTCAAGATGGGACTCAGAGGGCTCTATCTGCACTGCTGACATCTCGTCTTTGACATTAGAGATGGAAATGGGTCCTTTCTTTGCCACACTAGGCTCTACTGGAGGATTAGCAGCTGCTGTTTGCACCACTCCTGATCCCTCTGGATATTTTTTCAAGCCAGAGCTAAATGCATTTAAAAAAAACAGAAGAAATCAAACTATGTTGAGAATTCTACAGTTACCAGAAACTTCTTGACGCCAATGGTGGGGATTTCCTGACGCATTAGTGCTTAGCATTTGGAAATCTAGCCTACCAGTGTTAAAATGGTTAAAAATATTGAGGCGAATAGCTGATTAGTTTTATGCTTCTGTTTAATCCACCTCAGTACCGCCAGCCTCTCACACTTCGAATTACGTGACTTGCCAGACCTCTCAAGGTAGCACTCGCTACAGACGGGCCCCGAGACCTCGGCGCTGGCATGAGCTCCTAAAATTTGGATCCCCTGATGCGAGGCAGACTGTGAAAGCGCATACACAGCGAACGTAAAACTCCCGTCTCCCTGTATAAAGGGATTACCAGAGTTTTGTTACGTTTGAAGACAGCAGACTCTGCAGTCGCCAACCTAGAGAACTCTTCCAGTAGCTAGGAGTCTGAAGTTTGCTAATT